GAAAGGGCTGGGCGGATTGGGATGCGGTTCAACGACTGTGAGACTATGCGGTGTGTTGTGGATTGACACGTAGTAAATGTCGTGCACGCAACTGCCATCTTGGCAGACGACCTCGAACTATTTATGTATGCACGTTTACACCAGTAACCTGTTGTCGCCGTACCCTTATCAGAACCCATATCTTCATGCCATCGGCGATCATCGATGTGTTTGTTGGTCTACAATCTGCTGATGACAGATTAAGAATCAGGCAGCATTTAGGCAGCAATATTCTGATAACCACCTGGAACATGCCTTTGACAAATACACGTTCAGCACGCTCCATTGATCAATTTGTGTAATTAAGTCGCTGAACGTTCGGTTTCAATATGGGTCTTCTCATAACATGACAAATCAGGCTAGTGTATCGAGGCGTGCTGCATTGCATATATCCCGTGTGGCAGGAGTATTTGTGTTCAGGGTCGGGCTGTAACACTTTATTTTTATGAAAATTGTGTAAATACCTGGTGTTATCCTTAGAGCAGGACAAGTTTACCCTTTTCGGTACCTGGTGCCATGATTGACTTTCAGGCATCTGTACATATAGTTTCCGTCCCCCTTTCCCCCTTTTAGCGATGATTCATGCTACTGAATCTTTAAGGTGGTAGTATAGACTCAATGCTATCTGGCACTGACGTTTTGAAGTGATTTAACTTTCTCTTTTGTGGTCCCATTAAACACCATTTCAGTTGCATGTAGTAGCACATGCCATAGATCTTAACTCCTTCAGTGGAATCTTGCTAGCAAGATCGTTTCCAGAAACAAATGATTCAGAGACTGAATGTATGAGCAAAGATCAGTAGCACCTACACTACCTGTGTATGACATGGTATCAGCAGTGCCTACACCACCTGGGTATGAAATGCAATCAGCAGTGCCTACACCACCTGGGTTTGACATGGTATCAGCAGTGCTTACACCACCTGGGTATGAAATGCAATCAGCAGTGCCTACACCACCGTGGTATGAAATCCAATCAGCAGTGCCTACACCACCTGGGTATGAAATGCAATCAGCAGTGCCTACACCACCTGGGTATGACATGCAATCAGCAGTGCCTACACCACCTGGGCATGACATGCAATCAGCAGTACCTACATCCACCTTGGTATAAAATGCAATCAGCAGTGCCTACACCACCTGGGTATGAAATGCAATCAGCAGTGCCTACACCACCTGAGGATGACATGGTTTCAGCGGTGCCTACACCACCTGGGTATGACATGGTATCAGCAGTGCTTACACCACCTGGGTATGACATGCAATCAGCAGTGCCTACACCACCTGGGTATGAAATGCAATCAGCAGTGCCTACACCACCTGAGGATGACATGGTTTCAGCGGTGCCTACACCACCTGGGTATGACATGGTATCAGCAGTGCTTACACCACCTGGGTATGACATGCAATCAGCAGTGCCTACACCACCTGAGGATGACATGGTATCAGCAGTGCCTACACCACCTGGGTATGACATGCAATCAGCAGTGCCTACACCACCTGGGTATGACATGGGGTTTCAGCAGTGCCTACACCACCTGGGTATGACATGCAATCAGCAGTGCCTACACCACCTGAGGATGACATGGTTTCAGCGGTGCCTACACCACCTGGGTATGACATGGTATCAGCAGTGCTTACACCACCTGGGTATGACATGCAATCAGCAGTGCCTACACCACCTGAGGATGACATGGTATCAGCAGTGCCTACACCACCTGGGTATGACATGCAATCAGCAGTGCCTGCACCACCTGGGTATGACATGGGGTTTCAGCAGTGCCTACACCACCTGGGTATGACATGCAATCAGCAGTGCCTACACCACCTGGGAATGATATGCAATCAGCAGTGCCTACACCACATGTGTATGACATGCAACCAGATGTGCCTAAATGACCTTAAAATGATATGGAAGCAGCTATGCTTACACAATTTGGGTATGACATACTACCAGCTGAGGCTCCATTACCTTGGTATGGCATGCAGTCAGGTGGGCTCACATCATCTGGGTATGAAATACAATCTGGTGGGCTTATGCCACCTGGATATGACATGCAATCAGCAGTGCCTACACCACCTGGGTATGACATGCAATCAGTAGTGACTACATCACCTGGGTATGACATGCAATCAGCAGTGCCTACACCACCTGGGTATGACATGCAATCAGTAGTGACTACATCACCTGGATATGACATGCAATCAGCTGAATTGAATCTTCTGATTCATTAAGTCAAGTCTATGACAAGTTTAGTTTACATGGAGATCACTTCTAACTGACATACAAAGTGGGTTGTATCTACTCTGGTGAACCAAGACCAACAACAGCTGGGACTGTAAGTGTTTATTATGTTAAAAATGCTAGCAACAAGAATCCACTAAACATGGGGTGTAAATAAACTAGAAAAATTAATCTCTTGATATGTCAACTTATTAACAAAGTATATATCAATACTTGAATAACGAATCCCACTAAATGCCATGCAGTCAAACCTCGTCATAACACTATTTGTCATGGTAATATGGTGTGGAATTTTAACAAATTTAGCATTATAAAGAGGTGGAGATTTCATCACATAGAAAGAAAGTAGTGAGTGAATGAGTTGGGTTTTATGCTGCTTTTAGCAATATTCTAGCAGTATCACAGCTGGGGGCCCCAGAAATGGGCTTCACACATTGTACCCATGTGGGGAATTGAACCTGGGCCTTCGGTGTGACGAGTGAACGCTTTAACCACTAGGCTACCCCACAGCCCCAATAATCAAGTAGGTGAACACCACAGGAAAACATAGCACTGAACTGTGGTATGCTGCAGTAACAGGTTTTTCAAGGAAGGCATCATAAAGAAGGGTTTAATAGATGAGAAATATAATAATAATAATAATAATAATAATAGGCCATTTATATAGCGTCTTTCCACGTCACAGGGATATGCTCAAATATGTGCTATATCCCTTTGTAAAGATTCAGCATTATAACGAGACTTAACTGCACATAATGTTAAACATATACACCAAAAAGATAAACAACGCCTAAAACAATGAAGAAAATTCTTCTAATATCGAAATGTCTTTGGTAAAGAAAACAGAATAATGCCTCATTGTCATACCCAGGACTTGAGTAGACACCTGTATATGCCGTCAATGTCACACTCACACAAAAAACCCAAACACACTCTCTCCAAAGGAAAAATATAAACTAACATGTGGAAAATCTGTACAATTTGAAATTGACAAGTGCATAGTGATGATGAATGACAAGAGCCAACACACACAGGCTATCAACATGTGCCTTGACGAATGCAGCATATGACACACATCACGGAATGCAACTAGGCACATGGCAATATCAGCTGCCAGCTAAATCTATCTATCGATTGGTAGAAAATACAAACTATTCAGCATCACTACTTCAAAATCAGATAAAAAATCTTACTATTAAACAACATCCTGCCACGCTGAGCACCAGTAAATCTGAGATTCAATATTGATCGTAAGGGCATAATTTACTAACAAGTTACACAAAGTTCGAGGCTGCAGAGTATGGAATTTGGGGATTTACAGTACATATCTCCAGTAGGAAAACAAATATCACTCTTGCAAAACACAATCATACAAGCAATAGTGTTTGAGCATTCGAAAGAGATTCACGATCCCTGAAACACATAATTTAATGAACACAGAGGCATACAACAGAACATACTGTAATATACAGCAGCTGTAACATCAGGGAGACTCCCAGACACAACCAAGGATGTGGCAATACACTGGCGCTGAGCATTGATGGCAAACATAAATAAATTCAACTAGCTTTGCCCTTGGAACAAAAACACACAGTTAACCATGACCCTAGTTTCTCATCTCATCCTCTGTGATGCAGGGGATTTTTGTACAATATTCCATTTAACAACCGGGATACAACTGTCATGACATCACACATTGCTCATCTGTGTGTTTTTCCATACTTAGCAACAACATTGTGCTCATTTAAAATCAGTTACATTGTTTCAAAGAGGATAAGCAAGCAGGAATATTAATTGATACATCCCGACAATCGAAAAGATTTCTCTTTTGTTCAAAGGGTTCAATCTAGTTGCATGAAAACAACAAAGTAACAATTAGTTCCAAGTGTATGCATTTGATAATACTTGTTAGTTACATAGCTTCACCCCCATGAACAATAATATTAGTAGATATGAAGTTCACCGATCATAAACCAATTCTCCTCCACTATTATGCTTTGTCATTAGTAGATTAGACAGGAAGAGTCTTTCTCAATCACTGAACAATATCATCATGCACAAACCACTGCTGGAGATAGCAGGCTAATGTTCAGGATACCAATGCGTGTTGCTACCTCAAGACAACTACCCCTCTATGGATGAAATTCATGTCTAGTTCATCTGTCCCACAGAGGTTAGAATTAGACTGAAGATGCCATCTTCCTCGTAAAATCAAAAGATGAACAACTTCTCCCTTCTTTCATGCAATCAGAACACCTGTTACTGCTGATTCAACTTGACTAACACAAGCAAAGGCAAATATCCCCATCTGCCGGGAATGTTGATGATACACTTAATGGCTAGCTTGTCCGTTGTCAACGAGGCTCATGTAATGATGCCATAACATAACTGAGTTCTGTAGAAGACAACCTATGCAACCCCTCTTTTGCGGGATGAAACTTTTCGCAACATTGCACAACTTCTGATTGTCTCCAATCTAGTTACCATGAAAGGGTTGCTAGAACACATGACAGGAGTAACTCGAAAAATGAGTGAGTTGGGTTTTACGCCACTTAAAATATTTTGGCAATATCATGGCAAAGGATGCTAAAAGTGCTATATACTGACTGACTGACTGAGTTTGGTTTCACGCCGCATTGCAATACAGCCATGGGGAAACCAGAAATGGGCTTCACTTTGTGACCGAGCCAACGGTCTTAATTGACACTAGGCTTTAACCATAGGCTACCCCACCGCCCCGGGCTATATACATTGTACCCTGGTGGGAAATTAAACTGTTTCGTTTGCAATATGAGTGTATGCTATAACCACTAGGCAAGCCCACCGCCTTCCTTCAAATGAATGAAATATTATGTAGTGGTCCTTCCATGTATGGGCCAGGTACCAGCTGTGTTGGAATATGAATTGCTTAGGTACAGGACAATCCCTCACTGTAAGTTATTATATGATGCTGTTTGTCTATGCAAAAGTACAACGTAGATATGATATGCATTAAAAACGAAACACCTTGAAGATATCTGTTGGCTACAGTGAAGTGATTTGGTCATGTGATCTGGTCATGTGATCTAGTCGTGAGAGTGGGGCTGGTACACATAGTCTGGTTGGATTTCCTGCATAGACTTCAACAACAGTTCACCAGCTTCAATCTTCTCAAATCTCTTTGCATCGTCCAGAGCAGTGAACCCCCATCTAGAAGAAAAGAGCTTCTCTGAGAATATGCGAGTGAGTAAGTGAGTTAATATTTAACGTCACATCGGCAATATCTCAGCCATATCGTGACGACTGAGAATATGTGATCATGAACGTTGGAATGAGGGGATGAACACTATCACTGCAAGCTATCTATATCTACACCACAAAACAAACGGTTGACAGCATGAGCATGTTAACAATGACTGCATATGATATGGCACTCAGTCCTACAGTTGTAGAGGAGCTTCAGTAGGGCTGCAATGATTGACCCAGACCTCGATTCGATTCGATTTTCAATATTAGACCCACAATTCCATCATTTTCTATCGATTCTTCATACAAGTAAAAATATCAGATTTCATTTAACTCTCAGAGTTCAAATGAGTCGGCTTTTTTAGCTTGAAATCTATCGTCAACTTGGCGATGTCTACCACCAACAATTCTCAGTGGATAATTAGCCCTGCGTCAACCAATCACGCTTCACCTTATTTCAGTGCTCAAAACAGCTCGAGTTGGAGTCAAAATTACGTTCTCGCTGTGTGGAAATAATTTAAATAGATATTCAAATATCGAATCAAAATAGTGATAATGGTTATCAAAAATTGAAACTAAGGTGTCAGATTCGATTTTCGATGAATCAAACTGAATCGTTGCAGCCCTAAAATTCAGGTGAACTTCTGCTTACTGATGATACAGAGTCAGACAGTTGTAGAGTAATTCCGGAGCAACTTCCAGTTATCGCCTGATCTACTTTTATGAATATACTGTGAAAGGCTAGACTGATGTCCACTAAAACAACCCATATTCTGGATACGAACTGTTGGAAATAATAAAGCTTAACAGTATTTGTCCTATCCTGATACTATCAAATCTATAGTAACTACAGATTTATATATGTCATCAATGGCCTGCTATTGAACAATGAACAGCTGGCATGCATTGATACATATATACAATCAATCACTGTGACAGTCCTACAGAAACAATGTGTAACATCTGTGAAGACCCACCTGTCCACTGCAAATGGGCTGACTTTACATTTGTTGAGAAGGAACTTGATGACGTCCAGATGCCCCTCTGCAGCAGCGATGTGGAGAGCTGTACGGCCATCATAGTCAGGTGTGCTCATGTCCATCCCAGCAATAGCACATCTGAAGACAGGATAGGAGCACAAGGATTACAACCACCCTTACAACCAGTTACAGCTCTCTTACATGTTAATGAGTAAAGACAACATGCAGAAGGTGTTTAGTTAAATCAAGTTATGGTCTTTCAGATGAACAAGCTCTGAATCAACAACAACTTTCTCAAGGTTTGACAAGGCCCAATTTTGCACACTAGAAGTAATAATTTTCAAAATTTCAAATATTGTCATGACAATTACCCTTATTTCTTATCATACTTAAAGGGTTTTAGACTTCAGACATGATCAAGAGAAGATGTTTTCAAGTTTAAAGAAAAAGTCTCAGAAAGTGCATTTCTGTCACCCAGGACAAATATTTATCCTTCTGTAAACAGGTTTGAGCCCAAGACTTTCTCATGTTCAAAGATCAGAAAAAAGCATCTGAAACCTTGAAAGTAAGCAAATTTGACACTGAAGACACTGGCTCAAACAGTAAGTTCTTATTGTTCCAAAATATTTGCATAATAAATGAACATTTATTCAGCAGTTGTTTGACCATAGAAATAGAGAAAGACGGGTTCTTCTCTATTTCTATGGTTTGACTAAATATTTATGAGTGTATTAAACTGAATGGAAGGATTTACAATGAATTTCCTTGTTATTTTTGTAACAAATACATGTTTAAGGAAATTTGTCACTTACCACTAGAAACAGATAATCATGTTCAGCAAGTTTGCTTTTACAGTCAGTGAGTGAGTGAGTGAGTGGGTGGGTTGGTGAGTGAGTGAGGTTTAACAGTGTACTCAGCAATATTCCAGCTATATGGCAGAGGTCTGTAAATATTTGAGTCTGGACCAGACAATCCAGTCATCAACAGCATGAGCATCAATCTATGCAGTTGGTATATGATGACATGTGTCAACCAAGTGACCGAGCCTGACCATCCGATCCTGTTAGTTGCCTCTTACGACAAGCATGGTTACTGAAGATCAATTCTAACCTGGATCTTCATGGGTGCATTGTGCAAGCAGTGTTTGCAATACCTTAATTTGGGCCTGCTGCAGCCTAGGCCTTAAAATCTACAGGCCCTGAATGAAATCTGCAGGCCCATTTTGTTAAAATCAAACCAATAAATACAAAATAGACTACACTGTACACATTTTCACACTGTTTCAATTAGCGAAGTCTATGGCACTGAGAGAGGTATTTATTTGTTAAAGACAGGTGTTGACATTCCTACTCGCAAAGCGCTGAAATACCAGGAAGTGAAACTGTAAGTATCGTAACATGATGGATCATGGGCAATCTCGAACGTTATTAAAGATAAACAATATGGGAAAGATTCCAGTTAAAAAAACAACATCGAGACATAATTTACTGAAGGCCACAAAGGCCTGCAAATATTTAAAACTGCCGGCCCGATACAATAACAACCGGCGCTGGGCCTATGGGCCGACGATTATTTCGAACGCTGTGTGCAAGTGAACCCTGGACTTATGAAAAACAACAAGAACGCCATACTATCACATAGAGGCAAGGCTAGCTACAGACTTCCACCAACCTCCTGAGATCAGTCACATCTCCGTTGAAGGCTGAGAAGAGCAGTGTGACCACATTGCTTGACTGTGTATCCACTTTCCTCACCCGAGGGTCACGCTTCTCATGGGTGTGGTTCAGGTTGTCGTAGTTGTGGAAGTTGAAGCCGCTCACCAGGTTCTAGAACAGCCGTACAAACTTAAGGTCAGAAAGGTCGACACACATTGTTATTTAAATCTAAAACCAATGAAATATTCCACTGAAATACCAAGAAAGGATTAGTCTGGTCCTGTAACTGTGACAGGAGGATGCTGTGATTGATTGATTGAGCTGGAGCGAGCGAGCGAAATCTTTCTGAGGTACCCCATAAATGGGCATGACACAATGTTTCCCTCATTAGAACTAAACCTGAGTTTTCAGCATGACAAACGAACACTCTAACCACTAGGTACCCCACTAGGTATGGTAGTCAGTATTCTAGTCATCTCTATCCTGTGAACCGTTGGTTTCCTCACCTCGCAGAACTGGATGCCCCTGGAGGAGTTCCCATACTGGTCAAGAGGGGGTGACCACAGATAGATGCCCATCACATTGGGCACAACCAGCATCACACCCCCAGATACACCTGACTTGGCCGGCAGACCCACCTGAACACAACACAGGAAAATCACATATATATCACTGACGTGGTCAGCATTCTCCAAATATCCTAGCAATCTGATTGGCTAGCAGCCATTTATCATATTCAGTAAAATCCAGCTTGTTGTACTTCTGAATGTAATAAAGTTTCAATCTGACAATTCTTGCTTGTCATGTGACAACTGACCTGCATCAAATTTCTGAGAAACCATACTGAAATTATGAGGGTATTCTAACATATCTTAATTACATACACAAATATTTCAATGAAAATAAGAGTTTATAACATTTGATTGCTAAATAACCAATATTCACACATGCCATGACCATAACTTAGTGTACAGCCTGCTATCCTGTACACCGGCGAGGGACACATGCATCCCATAGTACTGAGTACATCTGTGTACCTTGAAGGCAAACTGTCCGGAGTAGTCATACATCCCACAGGACAACATAAGGGACAGTGTGTCTCTGATGGCAGCAGGCTGGAGAACCTTGTCCCCTGTTGTTGGGCAGATGCCACCGTTGGCAAGCGTTGCCGCAATTACAGCACCAGACTCACATGTGATCTCAGCAGAGCAACACTGCAATGCACAAGGTAAGGAATATATTCTTGCTCACTTAAGTTACTGGTTACGTCATGAAATAATGCATATTGTGGCTAACTAGTTATTCAAGTAAAGCAGTATTCAGCAAAAAATGTAAAATCATGTCGCTGTTGAAAGTCACATGGCCCTACATTTCATGAAGCCTCAGCTCTCTGGGTATGAGTCCAGTGGATGCAGAAATGAAGGACTAACTTTAAATATTTTATGATTTATGAACATTAAGAATTAATCTAGATGTCATTGTGTTGCGACATGTCACATCAAAGTTTCAGATTTCCAGACCTTGCAGTTTCTGAGAGGAAGATTCTTTAAGAATAATCAAATATCATTTGTATTCTTTATTTCTGTTTTCCAAAGATATACCAAAACAATAAGGATTTGTGATGTGATATCATGAAAAGTCTCCCACCAGATGATCAGGGTCATTCCTCAAGCTTGTTGGAGGAGTGGTAATAGAACAGCTGGGTACAAATTAGATCTTCATTACTGGTTAGCTAAATATTACAAAACAACAACTGGATCAGGAGGGGCTGTTTACCACCTGGCAGATTAGAAACTTACTTGGAAGTAGAAGTCAAGCAGCTCTATCAGGTTTGTGCCCTTTGGGAAACACTGTAATGAGACAAGTGGGATATCAAAATTTGCACCTGGATTGGATTACAGTAACATGAGGCAGGTGAGTAGCTGATGCCTCACTGAACTCCAACAATAAACTATACATAAGTTATTGCAGGTAACCTGTTATTGCTAACTAGAGCTGGATTCATCATCTGGACCATGACGTGGAACAGACATCAGTCACCATTGTCTGACTGAATGAGAAGGTTGAGTTTACTGTGTTGAACATTATTCAGCCTATTTAGCAGAGAAGCTGGATACGATTATGAATATCTACAATGTAACCAGCTTCATTTCTGGAGAGGGTCCTTGAAGATCCCATTGAAGAATAGGCCCAAATCTCATAAAAATCTAAAATCATAAAAAAACTTTCCCTCTGAATAGATACCTCTCTATGTGAATATATGAGGGGTTTCTTTGGACAACTCTACAGAAGGTCATGTCAGGTGAACTTCCCAATCAGCCAGTCAGCATCATGGCTTCTAAAACCTTGATACGAAGGATCTGATTTCTGAATCATACTCAGCCAATTCAGGATAGTTGTCCTCCTTACCTTGTTTTCTCTCATATAGTAACCCAGGGCAAAGTTTCGGTCAGCTGTTTCCCGCTCAGATAGGAAGCTGAAAAGAAGGAGATTGTTATCATGGTCAGGAGGAAATATGGTGTGACATTATAAACATATATCAAACACAACACCATAGAGCCAGTTTGCAGTGCACTGTGTGAAACTGAAATATTAAAACTAAAATAGTGTCTGACATGCAAGGATTGCAAACTGGCTTGTGCCCAGTATCTCTCACAATGATGAGTCACAAAACATGCTTACAAACCTATATTACACCACCAGTAACAAGCTGTGGGCAGATGGCAACTTTACTTGTAATTCTGTCAAGTTTAATCTGATGGAGCCCAAACGTATATATTCATTTATTCCCTTAGTTGATTAAACCTTAACAAGTAAGACTGCAAGGAGAATCTTCAAAGGTTGGGATGGAGGTTGGCTATTCAGAGAGCCACTGTGCATGCCTTGGAAGAAGCAGGCAACAAATGGATTGATGGACAGGGGATGTTATGGCTTATCAGGTTCCAATGAAAATCATTTTACCCTGTCAATATCCTTTTCATAAATAAAGACTAACTTCTACACTAATCACTCTGACAGGCAGAAAGATTAAACATATGACAGAGCAACCACAGCCAGCACTGTCAGAGAACCAGTGTATGCAAGCACTGCTAATTGACACAGAGTTATCCTCCCCTGGTTGTCACATTCAGAGCAGCCACAGCCAGCATTGTCAGAGAACCAGAGAACCAGTGTATGCAGTGTATGCACAGAGTTATCCTCCCCTGGTTGTCACATTCAGAGCAACCACAGCCAGCACTGTCAGAGAACCAGTGTATGCAAGCACTGCTAGTTCACACAGAGTTATCCTCCCCTGGTTGTCACATTCAGAGCAACCACAGCCAGCACTGTCAGAGAACCAGTGTATGCAAGCACTGCTAGTTCACACAGAGTTATCCTCCCCTGGTTGTCACATTCAGAGCAACCACAGCCAGCACTGTCAGAGAACCAGTGTATGCAGGCACTGCTAGTTCACACAGAGTTATCCTCCCCTGGTTGTCACATTCAGAGCAACCACAGCCAGCATTGTCAGAGAACCAGTGTATGCAAGCACTGCTAGTTCACACAGAGTTATCCTCCCCTGGTTGTCACATTCAGAGCAACCACAGCCAGCACTGTCAGAGAACCAGTGTATGCAAGCACTGCTAGTTCACACAGAGTTATCCTCCCCTGGTTGTCACATTCAGAGCAACCACAGCCAGCACTGTCAGAGAACCAGTGTATGCAAGCACTGCTAGTTCACACAGAGTTATCCTCCCCTGGTTGTCACATTCAGAGCAACCACAGCCAGCACTGTCAGAGAACCAGTGTATGCAAGCACTGCTAGTTCACACAGAGTTATCCTCCCCTGGTTGTCACATTCAGAGCAACCACAGCCAGCACTGTCAGAGAACCAGTGTATGCAAGCACTGCTAGTTCACACAGAGTTATCCTCCCCTGGTTGTCACATTCAGAGCAACCACAGCCAGCACTGTCAGAGAACCAGTGTATGCAAGCACTGCTAGTTCACACAGAGTTATCCTCCCCTGGTTGTCACATTCAGAGCAACCACAGAGCAATGTTTAACTCATCTGGGAGGGAGCAGTTCATTTTACATGAGAGACATCTCCTGTGGGAGTCAGTCCTGGATAACAAGTAGACTTCTACCATATCATCATGATTATGTAGTATTATACACTGATACAGCCCTGGAAGCATCACAGACATCAGCTCACAGGATTACCATAACAGTATCTGTAACACCCAAACCAAAGAAGCAGGAATATTTTAAGTAACGGCTTAAAATAGATGAAAGACCCACAAATGTTAAATGTATATATTGTTCATTATAACTTGGAGTAAGAGTAAACTTGGTTTAATGTCACAGTGTTTGAACAGTGTTTTATCCCCTCTAGTCTGTCATTTATGGGAATGAGTGAGTGAGTTTGGTTTTAGTTCGCTTTTAGCAATATTCCAGCAATATCACGGCGGGGGACACCAGAAATGGGCTTCACACATTGTGACCCATGTGGGGAATCGAACCTGGGTCTTCGGCATGATGACCGAACGCTTTAACCACTAGGCTACCCTCCCGCCTTCATTTATGAAAAGAAAGTCAGATGTGATGAGTTTTAGACACATGGGTTGGTGCCAACAAACCAAGAAGAATTAAGATAATGGGTGTGCACCCATGATCATAGGTTTCTGGCACAGTAAGGAACATGCTATGTACAGCAAACTGTGGTGTCACAGACAACTGAACCAAACATTCCCCTGTATTACAATGAGAAGTAGTATACCAGCTATGGGACAGAAGAACAAGAACAAGGCCATGTTATCTGATTTAGTATGAGCTACAACAGCTGAAAGCTTCAACAGGGTTAAACATTGAAACATGTTACATGGGAAAAGAGCATATCAATATGTTCTAAAGTAACAGGACTCAAAATCTGATCTGTTCTTAGGAACTGAACACCATTAATCTTTAAAGTGGAAAATATATATTTATAAAGAAAAACTATTTTCAACTGTATGTGATGTTTTTGAACATTCGCAGATCATTTTTAAACAAATCAATATTTTGGTCTTTTAAGACTTTCCAGAAAATGAGTGACATTTATTAGTGAGCAGTAACTCATTTCACAAAGAGCATATTTTGAGCCCTGTCTTATGATTAATGTGAACTATTTGTATTGATAAAATATTACAAAATGTCCCTTTCGTTAACTAAAAAGATAAAGTTTTTTTTCCAACAAATTGATAAAAAAATCAGGGCTTGAATTTTGAAACCATAAACCAGTTTGAAAGCAAGCAAAGCTTCACAATTAAGCAAACGAAAGGCAACATTTGCTACGGTAATTAAATTATTCTTGGCAAAAGTAATATTTACCGCCTGTCACTGTCACAAATATGATCGTTGGGGTCAAAATATGCTTCATAACTGAAATGGGAATGTTCAAAACAATACACACCATTTGTACTGCAATTACCATAAAGTGTGTGAAGTGCACATAAAATATCAGTGGTCGGTTTGTTGTTTAATGCCATATTCAGCAATATTCCAGCTATGGCGGTCTGTAACTGTATTCACTGTTTACATTTCATCATTATGAAACAAAGGCTGATTACCCTGAACATCCTAAAACTAGTTACCATTGTTAAGTATGTCTTCTTAACCCTCCTTAACAACTGTTTGACTAATCTTCTTGAGACTAGCCATACAGAGGAACAATGTTCCAGTGACTCCATTAATTCCTAGTGTTCAAACCTATTGTGACAATTCATTGTTGCAGAGTTGCAGACATTACATATATCCATCTGTGTATTCTAGAGGAAGTTAAGCTAAGTCGGTTGGTTGGTTTGTTGTTTAAAGCCATATTCAGCAATATTCCAGCTATATGGCGGCGGTCTGTAAATAAACTTCACTGTTTACATTTCATCATTATGAAGCGTCCGCCTGGACAGTGAAAGGTCACTCGTCATACACAAAGACTTTAAAACAAGGACTGGTCAGCTCGGAGTCAGTATAATGTGTGTATCCATGCTCCACTGCGGCATGGTATCTCAGTGGGCTAGCACTATAAAACCAGCTTAAGTCTGGGCTAGTACAAGCAGCCGCACACTCACATACACACGCAAGCACATCATCATATGAGCGAAATATTCTTAAGTACGGTGTTAAACCCCATATCGTGAAATTCACCAAATACAACTTTTCAAAAGAAGATATCAACTGACATATTCAAAAAGAGTTTTTTGGGGGGTTTGTTGTTGGGCAACCTGCAATATTCCAGACTGATTACTTCAGTTACTTGGGGTTATACACTTCTGGCCAAGTCAGGGCCATAATTGAGTTGAAGCCTGTTTGATATTCAATTTGTTGGTCAGTAGTGGGTTAGCTTATCTTAGTTTTTGGTAGTTGGGAGTAATTGTAAGAAGAATTACAGTTAACATAAGCTTTATCTGAACTAGGCTGGAATGTGAGTCTACTAAGAAACACTACTGAGTGAGTGAGTTTAGTTTTACGCGTCACTAAGCAATATTCCAGCTATATGACGGCAGTCAGTAAATAAGTGAGTCTGGACCAGACAATCCAGGGATCAACAGCATGAACATCGGTCTACACAACTGGGATACGAAGACGTGTGTCAACCCAGTCAGTGAGCCTGACCACACAATCCCGTTATGACAAGCATGGGTTGCTGAAGATCAATTCTAACCCGGACCTTCACGGGTCAGAAACACTACTGATGAATGTATGTTAGACTGGAAGTAAATCTGCAATGCCTGACTTGCAGCAAAACTAAACACTCTAGATTCTAATACACTACACAAATCTAAAGGAAACAGCTCTGTATACTAGTTTAACAAGCATAAATCTCTACCAACAAGAACCTGACTGATGACTAGTTTGAGATAAGGCACAAGAAATGTTGTCTGTGTGGTGTGATGAAGTCTCTCCCTGGACAATGACATTTGTTGTGCATGCAGTCCTACCAGGATCAGGCGAACCAGTGGTTGATGGTTGAGCATCACCATCCTAGAGGTACAATGTCACACCAAGACAGCCAGGCCAAAGCATATCTGTGTGGACACCGATTTAAGTATGTATCACTCAAGCGTAACTAGTAGTCCTTTAAAACATGGGTCCTCATGCAGTGAGACTGACTGAGTTTGGTTTTACGCCGCTTTTAGCATTATTCCAGCAACATCACGGCAGGGGATGCCAGAAATGGGCATCATTCATTGTACCGATGTGGCTCATGTAGTGAGAAGCGTGTGCACACGTTCCATGAGGTTCAGACAATGAGCTCTGCTTCTGATCATACTAAACACACTTACACAGAGTTGTTGAAGCTCATGTATTCATTGCCAGCCATCCTCTTGTACATCTTGTTAGTCTGAAGACACAGAGCAAAATCAACAACAGATGCAAGGAGATCAGTTATGTATCATACATTTCTTATACATGTACTTGGAATATGAGCCTATGATCAGAAGAACTGCTGTGTAAGAGACCCTCCTAGCCCATATGACTACACAAACCCTGACACTTCATACTGATTCCATGTTAAATATAGAGAATATAACACTGAGGTCACACATTGCAACCACCTCCTCCCTAGTACAGTAACATTTTAAGGCAAGGATAGGGAACTAAAGACAAAGCATCCTTATGGAACAAAAAGAAAATCCTTTGTCACAAACAGATACACTGGATATCAAGATGGAAATGTCTTGCCCAATTTCAAGTTCATCAAAAGGTATGCAAAGACTCATTCATGATTATCTGTCATGCTCATAAATAGATGACCACTCACAAAATCAAATCTGTCGGCGAGGTTGAGATCTTTCTTTAGTAGTGAGCATGTGACAATGGCACCAGCGTTGATCATTGGGTTGTGTGGCTTGTCTGTGGAGAAAAGGTGACACATACCTGTACAACACATGACAATATACCTTATATCACTGAGAAGGGTCAAAGAAGGTTCTACCAAATATAGATGTTGTATGATTTGACAGTTGCCAAAACCATAGCACCAGGTAAAAATGAGACTGGATTTATTGAAGAAGCTAATGTCAGGATGCTATGGAGTTTTCATTCATTGACAAAACATAAGATGCACTTGAGCATGACATAAGATGCACTTGAGCATGACATAAGACAGGACTATTATTTGTCAGGATTGCTGACATAAACTTTGAGTGAGTTTAGTTTTATGCCACTTTTAGCGATATTCCAGCAATATCATGGCGGGGGACACCAGGAGTGGGCTTCACACATTGTACCCATGTGGGGAATCTAACCCGGGCTTCGGCGTGACGAGCGAACACTTTAACCACTAGGTAAACTTTGAGAAAATGTTAATATGCATGTACTCATACCAAAGCCAATTTCTTCAAACTGAACAAATAGATAAACGAACACTGGATGCCCAACTGATGCCATTATTTGGAAATATTCCTGATGCTTCTTGTCTGATTTTAAAATAGTGGGAAAAAATGCCAAATGGTTACCAAAAATATATTCATGGTGTTGACAAAGCAATGATAATGGGATTCTAAAGCTCTGATCAGCCAATCCTAGCACATACAAGATGTGCAAATCTGTAAGGTTCATCTTGAAGCAAAAGACCTTTACGCTATTTCACAAAGTGGTCGACAGGCCACAAACACCAAAGGGTAAGTTAAAGTATGTAGCAATAGTCATTTAACTACAATCAACTTGTGAAACACACCCTGGTGATCAGTGAGCTAGGTAGAATATAATAATATAATCATTAAGTATGGCAAAAATAGAGAACTGGATACCTTGCAAGCAAAACCACCGCTAAGGCTAAACAGATACAATGTAGACATTAAGTAGGTGAGGTGAGGTGAGGTGAAATTGGGTTTTACGTCGTGCTTGAGAATATTTCGCTCATATGACGACATGCATGCGTGTGTATGTGTATGTGCGGCTGCTTGTACTAGCCCAGACTGAAGCTGGTTTTACAGTGCTAGCCCACTGAGATACCACGCCGCAGTGAAGCATGAATACCCCACTCAGACACATTATACTGACTCCAAGCCGACCAGTCCTTGTTGTACACTTTAATGCCGAGAGCCAGGCAGGGACCAACAAGTACCATATTTTAACGGCTTTTGGTATGACGCGGTCAGGGATCGAACCTGCGACCTTCCGCTCTCCGGGTGGACGCTCTATCCACTACACCACTGAGGCGGTCCATTAAGTAGGTAGAATATAATAACAACAACTAAGTATGGCAAAAGAAAAATCATAAAACTGGGTTCCCTGTAAGTGGGACCAGTTGTAAGGCTAAATAAATATAATGTAGACATTAATAGTCATACCAAAAAGGGTTAAGGGTGAAGCGGAACTGATCAAAAGGAGCAGTAATGTACAAAGGAGCAGGATTACATGAGGGTCCTTATAATCAAGGTTAAGCAAGAAGGGCTTTTGGTCGAGGAGCTGAAGAAGTTACAATGTTACATTCCATACATATTTTTCAGGAGGACACAAGGAGGCTTAGTGGGATCATAAACAGAACTTACCTGGTACACTTGAACACAGCAGTTAGTTACAAGGTACACCATTATATACAGGTTGTTCTTATCAGGGTTAACCAATAATGGTTGAGGAGTTGTTTAAGTTAGAATGTTACTTTTGATATATATTTCAGCAGGAATGAAAGCTGTTCCGTAGTGTTGGAACAAGTACTTACACATGGAGGGGATACTACTGGGGCCTACTCACTGTTGGGATTAAGACAAAGCATGTTGAAGGGGAGTCCGCTGGGTTCCTGGCCCACGTACTGATGGCTGACCTCGGACCCGAGGTCACTCAGAACTAAGGCATAGGTCAGTGCTTTACTAACAGACTGTAGACAGAATGGTTCTGTGGTGTCGCCAACTGAATACCTAGCAAAGCAAAAATGTCATTTCAGGAGAAAGGAAGGCTTGCGACTCACTGTTTGCGTTGAGACACAACATATTGAAAGGCTGTCCACTCGGCTCCTGGCCCACATATTGGTGAACAACCTCCGAGCTCAGGTCACTGAGAACTAGGGCATATGTCATGGCTTTGCTTACTGACTGTAGGCAGGACGGTACCTCAGTGTCTCCAATGGAATACCTAATGATGTAAACAGTCAAGTTATCAATCATCATGCTTCATTGTCAAATAGGCACCCACACAAACATGTTTCAAGTAACTGGTAGTTTCATTATTTCATGAACAAACTGTATGTTCAGTTAAAAGAATGGTATAAATATGGAAAAGGGTGTGACCTATTCATAAATGTTATGAACTAATCCAGTGGGAACTTTATATCTGTCCAAAGGAGTGTACCATATAAATAATGTGTCATGTCTTTATTCACAATACAATGTTGCTAAATAGACATATAATATCACAATAACTACTCACATTAATTTGGCTGGTGATATTTTTATCAACATGTCGTGATTCAAGTATACAGTGATACCCTGTTTGTTGTGATTTGCTATTTAACACCACACACAGCAATACTCCAGCTATATGATGGCACCACACTCAGCAATACTCCAGCTATATGATGGCACCACATACAGCAATACTCCAGCTATATGATGGCACCACACACAGCAATACTCCAGATATATGATGGCAGTCTGTATATACTCAAGTCTTGAACACACAAATTAGTGAGGTGAGGTGAGGTGAAATGGGGTTTAACGTCGTGCTTGAGAATATTTCGCTCATATGACGACGTGCATGTGTGTGTATGTGTATGTGTGGCTGCTTGTACTAGCCCAGACTTAAGCTGGTTTTATAGTGCTAGACCACTGAGATACCATGCCACAGTGAAGCATGAATACCCCACTCACACACATTATACTGACTCCGAGCCGACCAGTCCTTGTTGTACCCATTAATGCCGAGCGCCAGGCAGGGACCAACAAGTACCATAATTTAACGCCTTTTGGTATGATGCGGTTGGGGATCGAACCCGCGACCTTCCGCTCTCCGGGCGGACGCTCTAACCACAACACCACGGAGGCGGTCCACAAATCAGTGACTGACATCATGAGCATGAGTTTATGCAGTTGGGACATGAAGCAATGTGTCAACCATGTCACCAAGCCTGATGGCCAGTTCCATTAGTCACCTCACACAGCATGTTTCTGTAGAACAAATCTAACACAGATCTCCACAGGTGTTGATATGAGCGTTATACTATATACCTCTGGCCATCTACTGTACAGACGGACACACCCCACAGATTGGGGTTAAACCTTGCCAGCTGGGGGATGTAGGATGCCGGCTGAAAGAGAGAGAGGAATAGGGTTCAGACGGTGCCACACAAGGATTTAGGCTGAACCTAGCTGTCAGATGGATGTAAGAAGCTACATAAAAGAGAGAGTAAGACACGGACATTCAGTTTGTACAGTGCCCCACATAGATTAAGGTTAAACTTAGCCATTGGATGGATGTAGGGTGATGTCTCAAAGAGAGAAAGACATTGAAACATGGTTGAGATGATGCCCCACACATATATAGGTTGATATGTACATAATGGGTGTCTTGGATGCCAGCTGGCAGTTTAGAAATAGGTTGATATGAACGTTATGTGATGCCTTATATTGGATGGCAGCTGAACAATAGCTATGCTAACTACACTTGCACTATTATGAGAATAAGGATGCACTTGTAGTATAAGCTATCAACAGAGCTACAGATAACTTCTTGGGTCATTGAGTTATGTACTCACTTGTGTTCATCTCAATCATGTATCCTAATGTTCCTTTAGTATCCAAATAGATTGTACTCACCTCACTCAAACTCAATTGGGTATTTTGCCATTTTCCATTAATTTTAAAAACATAATAAAGTTTAAATGTTAGTGTTTGTTATTTATATTTGATCTGTAATATGAGAAGCGATAAGAAAGACAGCAAGTTGTCAAGTTCATGTCCTGAAATAGAACCTCTCAATATACCTCAGTTATTTTATCTATTCACCGGTACGCAAGCTAAGATTTGACATTTTTGTGTGTACGAATGTAAGATCACATTTATTGAGTATTTACAAAAATTCAAGCGTACTTGTACCCAACAGACTAATAGGAATTGAGTTTTCACATAAATAGTTGCATAATTTACGCAGATACACAGCTTATCTGTACCTCTGCATGAACATTGAAGGATTCTGATACATGAAATGTTGAAACAAGAGTGTGTGAGTGAGAGCTTGTCACTAAGAGTGCACCGATACTGACCGCTCCAGCTGTGTTGGACTTGCCCTTCTCATACAGCTTGTCAATGTCCCGACAGAAGGTAGAAAAGTCGGGGATCACAAACTCCTCTCGGAATGCCTTAGCGATGAGAACAATGTTGTCTGCAATACACCTGCAAACCAGTAAACAGCAGTGACAAGATGTCTCACCCAACATCAAGTGAATCACACTTTCAAATAACACAACAGAATTCACCAATCAAAGGAAACAATTACACTATATCAAAGATTACTTTTGGATCTAAGATCTTGTGTAATATATAGCATAGCGCTCAGGTCACAATCAGCTGAAGTTGAGCAACGTTGGGCACGGAGAGTCCTTGGATGGGTGACTGTGTTTGGCAGCTTGACTCCTGAGTGTTTCTAGGACTTCAGTCCTGTCCCACAACGAAGCACATGTGACACATGTGGTCTCAACTTAGGCAAGTGAGTTTGTTCAAAATTGCCTCTGTTCACCCAGCAGAAAATGGGTACACAGTGAAATAAGTCATGAGACTATTAACCTTCTAGCGCCTAACAGGCAGCTTGGGTTATCCGGGGTAATAATAATCAGATTGTGCGCTTTGAGCAGGATATCTAGCCTGGAAAAGGCACATTATAATTATTCTCAGTCTTCTTCTTCTTCTTCTTAATATTATTATTCATGCTGTTCAATGACAACCAGCTCATGTTATGAGAGCTGTATTCTGCCTGTGTTCTACCTTGAGTTATTACCCACGTGGTCAATGTATGGGTAGTTGCATACTGATCTCGTACATCACATGAGTGTCGTATCGCGTTGACCTGTGTTGTAACGACTTGACCCGAGATTCAAACGATTTGATTGGATAACCGATGACCTCTCAGTTAGGTCACGTTGTGACGGAACTACCTCTTCATTCATAACAAACACGTGAATTCATTCATTCTACAACTTAGATCCATTGTGGGAATGTAAACATTGTGAACGTTGCCTTGTCGCTGTTTAATTGTGAGTCGATTATATCCATCGAAAAACATTAACGCAATGTTTCCACCAGTGATGTTAGCCGAGTGAAGCAGTTGCAAGCCCGAAGAAACGGGGTGCTACAGTCTAGTTAACTGTAGGAGGCTGTACGTGAGGCGATGACAACTGACATGCATCGTGACGTCGGTTACCAAGGGGACAGACGAGAATGGCGTAGAGTAGTGACGTCAATACAGTGTGACGTCATGCAAAAGTGTACTACACAACAAAATTTGTCCGCAACCTCTTTATGAAACCGGTTTCGGTTTGAAACCATAACAATAACAAAATACACTATTTTGTCAATTCAATGCATGTAAGACGTGGGTAATTATAAAAAATACCACACTCGGTCTCATTACACACGAATTATACGAAGCTCGTGACCTTCAAATGGTTTCTGACCTCGCTCGCCTCGGTCAGATACCATAGGAAGGACACTCATTTCATATAATTTGTATGTAATGAGACCGAGTGTAGTATATATATGTCTCCCGTTGTGTGACAGGCTTACTTTTTAAACGTCCCTCTGTCCAGGAAGTCATATGCATGCCCCTCTCTCTTGATGTTCTCACTCTGTATGCTGGCGATCTTGGCCATGGATTCCTTCAGACGATGGTCCGTCTCCCTGAGTCCAGTCTTCTCCAGCTCCTGTGTTGGGAACAAGGGATGAGAATGTAATTAACAGATCAGTCAAAGAATACCTCAGTCACGGACATGTATCAGTAAAAGATGGACAGGTGTGTCACAGATAGAGTTCACTAACAAAGGGATACCAGTAACCGACAGCGTGAAATATAAGGGAGAAAGGTTTCCACCTCCAAAACTGGCACAACAAGGTTACTGAGTTTATCTAACCAACCAACAGATAACAATGATTCGTTGCCTGCTTGATAGCTTTTGCATGCTGCTTATTCAAGAATGATTCACAAATAACTTTCATACAAAGAGTGTTGTGTCACTAAATCCAGTTGCATGCACATTCTTGTTACCATGGTTATTTGACCATAACAAAGGACAGGATTGTGGCAAAGCTAGAGAAGCAGCTGTAATAAGTTTCAGAGCAAGAACTGGCATGAAAGCAGTAATAGAAGTAACAGCATCTTTGAGACTTATGAAATAAATACAGTTTGAACAGAACTACCACAGATAAGGACAAAACTTCATGGATGTACTTCTGTATCGAAACGTCACACCATCCGAATAAAGAAGTTGTACATCCATAAAGTTTTGTCCTTATCTGATTCTCCAACTTCTAAACATGCCTCTCAAAGAAGAAAACTACTACAGAAAAAATTAAATCATTATTACATAAGTATCTTGCAATAGACAGGCATGTAACAATGATCACTAATTTGTATTTTTTAAAGCAAATATTGGATTGACTCACTTTCAGTAATGTCACGTAATACACAGAGAATCCATTCACCAAAGTAAAGAAAGGGGAAATCTTAATAATATACCAACAACCTCCTGTAGACAATCGCTCCAACATACCATCCAGCCAGTATGAACTTCTTAAAGTCTAATGATAATGTCCATTCCTGCCTGAAGGTTGGCATGTCTTTAACACACAGACTCACAAAACAACTAACATGTATAAAACATGGAGCATAAGCACAATGTGATTCTTAACTGTATCATGTACTTAGACCTTAGGGGTAGGCCACATTGTGTCATTTTATAATTTTACGGCCATAAAAAATGCCTAAATATTTGTTATACAATGAACTGTATATGTTTGACCCAGACTAACATTTAGTACCAGAAATTAAAGCATCTTTTTTTAAAATATATATCAACAAATAGAATCCTAATGGACCCCAGAATAAATCTAAATCTCTGAACTGTGGCAATCTAGACTTGCAATATCATTCTACACTTGAGTTGAGTTGAATAAATTATAATTCATTCTCTTAAAGGTTTGACTTATTCTCCTAAGGAAAAGTTAACAGTATTTTGTAATGGTTACATCTTCCAGTCTGTACTATGGGCTGATGGCCTAGACTCCATAAAGAAAGCATCAGTTACAGACTGACAAAACTCTGTGAACCATAAACTCCACAAAAGCATGCCCTTCGTGACAGAGGACTCTCTGCCTGATTGTGTCTCACTATCTATATATCTGAGTCAACTTAACAAAAATAGACCCTCCTAACCACCATGGGTAATTTATTGCAATGATGAAAAGAACATGAAGGCTTATATACTGGCAACATAAAGAAACTGTGCACACAGAAAATATAAAGATAGACAGACAGTGTCTTTATACATAAATAAAGGTGTGAACATAGCAAGTATTGGAGACAATCAAACGCTCATGCAGGTGCCAGGCGACGTGACGTCATTGTTGGTGGCCTATGGACTTGCAATGTGTTACTGCACGTGCAGCCTGTGCAGCTGCACACAACATGTGAAACTCAGAAATTGATGTCACTGTCGAAAGCTTGATCTTTGGTCATTCAAACGTTCACAAATTCACATGAGAATTCACATGCACATCATGCCAAATTTAACATCAGCTCAACGTCACGAAACCATTGGAATGGTTCGAGCAGGCATGAGCCAACAACAGGTGGCAGCAAATTTCCATTGCCATCGTAACACGATATCTGCATTAGTCAGTTGTTATGGAAACAGTAATGACGTCGACGACCACCCACGTTTTGGGCGTCCCCGGGTAACGACGCCAAGACAGGACAGATGGATTCGGGTGAATAATCTCAGACACAGGTTCCAGACGGCAGTGACCACGTCCCAAACCATTCCCCAGGCCTTCAATGCTCATTTGGTATCCTATATGTGTCGTCGATGCACTGCTGTGCTTCACGCGCATGGTGGTCATACCCGTTATTGACTTTGTGACTTCGTTGTGTGACCCCCTACTCAATTTGAACTTCTGACGTCATTGTTACGGATATTGTTCATGTTCTTTTGACATGTTGTTGTGGCCTGATACTTCAGCTTATAAAGTGTCTACATCATTTCGTCTTTTCTGTGTTGTATTCCAATTCTGAAGGAATTTTCTGTGTGCACAGTTTCTTTATGTGGCTAGTATATGTTGTCACACAAACGTGACCATAAATGTTTCCGAAAATCTTGCTGTCCAACCATTTGAACATTATCGATAATGTCACTCTATAAACAACCAGTAAGTAAGAAAACGTCATCACGAACAGAGCAGTTTTAACCACAGTTGATTTTACCATGAAAAACCTTCCTTTACTAGTGTTTAGAAATTGCACTATTTCCCTGGTAAACACTGTGATATTATCAAGTACCTAAAGAGAACCTTTGCTTGGAGATAATGTTCAGGCAATGTCTGTGGCAATGATGGTCACTCAAGCTGATCGTCATTCCATGATTTCACATACACTTGGATCACGAGTGTAGGATCTGGTGAAACTTTGTTGTTTTGGCATTTGAAATGTTTAATAAAGATTTATACTATGCCAAGGTTATTTAAAATTAAATCATTTAGTTAAAAACCTACTGATGCCTCCAATTAGTAAATATGTTGTTAGAAATATTCCCTTGACAGGCTAGTTTGGGGTTGGTTTTGTTTTCCCTTGCCCAATGTTAGTGTAGAACCTGATCCACAAGGTCATGGTCAGTAATAGCGCAAGGATGTCCCAAAATAAACCTGCAGTGTTTGTTTACCAAGACTTCATGAATCACTAGATAAACATGATACACATAAATGTTCTGCTGTGTTGTTACATGTAGGATAAAACATGAACCTGATATATGAGTGGGTGAAACATTTCAGCAAGCTGGTGCAAGAGAATTATGGTCATGTATTACAATTTCAGATTAATTTTAAGAATTCCATTACATTTAACTAATAATTTTGGAATTATTGTTGACTGAAAGACTGTGTCAACAAAACAATCTGTTTCGTCTATAATTTCCCAAATGCCCAGTTTAGCCCATAAGGGTGATGACTACATAATTTTACTTGATACAGTGGTCACATGAAAACTGGCCCCTGAAACTGAACTTTACTACATTTTTCATTTTACTCTTGATACTGTGGTCACATGATAAAGACCAGGAAACTGTTTGTACAGCTGAACATGCAAAACTCACTCATCTGGAATGCTATTACATGCAGCATTAATGAACATGTAGTTATTACTAAACTTGTTGCATATTAATATAAACCACAGAGATACTGCCTTTCCACATGGCAAATAATTATTGTGCAACAGCCAGTCCTCTTGGTTTCATATGCATAATCTTTGCTATATCTATAAAAAGGCTTACTCCTTAAAACTAATTAATGAATCCATGGTATATCAAAATGTCACCAATTTCACCACACCTATTTATATCCAAATTCCAATAATTTTTCAAATTTCCATTCATCGATTATATCATGCTTAGGTCAAACTTGGATGTGTTATTCCCTAGTAAAATCAAATTTCTTTGGAGGTCCCAAGTATCCATATGAATCTGAATTGACTGAACAGTAAACTAGATAAAGATTATACATCCATGCTGATCCAGACAGTGACATCGTGATTGAGGATATGCTTGAGTTATTGCCCCTTTCCCTTCACCAGTAACCTGCTTGGCACTGAAATTTACATACACCTTGTCTTGTGTCCTGACCTGGTACTTCTCTCTCACCACCCATTAGGCGGATCCAGGAATTTTGAAAGGGGTGGGGTGGTGGGTGGTGGTGGTGGTGGTGTTTCTGCCAATGCAAAAAAAATCTTCAATGTCATTTTCTTAAGTCTTAAGTCATTTTCAAAAGGGGGGAGGGTTCAAACCCCCTGAGTAGTCTGGATCCGACAATGCGCCTGATGTTTGGTTTTCAAAATACACTTTGTTGGTAGTCTCGAGTGAGTGAGTGAGTGAGTGAGTGAGTGAGTGCGTGAGTGAGTGAATTTAGTTTTATGCTGATTTGGGCAATATTCCAGCAATATCACGGTGGGGAACACCAGGAATGGGCATCACACAATGTACCCATGTGAAGAATCGAACCCGGGTCTTTGGCATGATGAAGGAATGCTTTAACCACTAGGCTACCCCACCACACTGGTAGGCTCAAACCCTGGATAACTCGAACCTTTTTCCAGGTCCTCAATAGTTTGCAACAATGACGTTTGACTGTTAATGTTAAATAAATCTGCCATTTGTATAAGACTTATTTGTCAATAGGGAAAAGGAAGCAGGCAATATATACAAAGTACAGTGTATATGTTGTCTTCATCTGGGATTTATTATCCCAATGACTCTTGGTATAAATCTTCAGAAGTACAACCATGACTACCAAAAGGTTTGAAGACCTCAATTCCATCCATACCTAATGAAACATAGACCTTGTGTAAGCATCACCCTCAGGCAAACATTAGGAAGGTTTGTCTATAACACAAGAAGGAAATTTTCGGGAATCCTAGGGTTATCAAGTGTATCCTGTCTCCATCCCCCTGTCATAGACACCCTTGGCCCACTTCAACACCCTTGCTTTATTCCACTATCACTATCACTTCACCTACTTAGCATCTACTTTCTCCTGCTATAGAGCCTGACATCAACAAACAAGTACTTGTCATGTTGCTACACAAAAACACATTCTCAGTGAAGCTATGAATGAAATATTTAATTGAATCAGAACTCTTCAAGACATTTTGTCCGAAAAAAACACAATTCCTTACAAACGAAAACAGATGACATTGTGTCCAAATGCTACAAGACAAGTAAACTTAGTAACGTCAGGGCCAAAGACTGACTGATTGACTGAGTATGGTTTTACGCCGTTTTTAGCAATATTCCAGCAATATCACGGCAGGGGACACAAGAAATGGGCTTCACAAATTGTACCCATGTGGGGAATCGAACCCGGGCCTTCGGCTTGACGAGCGAGCGCTTTAACCACTAGGCTACCCCACCGCCCCCAGGGCCAAAGATGAAACATTAATGGGGATATACCTGCTTCTTTAAATCACAAAAGAACAAAGGAATTATACTGGAATTCTGTTTTCAGCATAATGTAATTTGAACAGACCCCAATCAAGGATAGAGCTAAATGGTCCAAGGGTATTTACCATTAGATTGGACACATAATATCGTGGAGTATAGAGTCCATGCTCTGGCCGCAGCATATTGAAATACCATGTGCAGTGAGGTGAAACAAACTAGTAGTACCCTACAACACATCTCGTACGTGAAACCATATCAGTATACTCTCACACTGTTCCAATAACCTTTACTAAATGAAGGTTACATACATACAGGGACCAACTGATGCCATTGTAAACTTGCTTCATGACTCAAACCTCCTTCAAGCTACATCTATGTGATGTGTCAGATATTGGGATGCTTGGATTCTCAGAGATGTAACATGACACTTTCCTGGTCAATGAAACACTGTCACCTTTGGTCTCCATCAGTAAAAAGGTTTTGGGTCCTTGAGGTCTCAGATTTGATTTATATAAGATGTAGATCAGCATAAATTCACCTTGAATGACCCTTGCAATAGACACCGTACTCACATTGTTGGAAACATCTCATATGTGATGTGTCAAATATTTGCATATCTACCAACAAGGTTCACTGGGACATCAATAAGACACAACTTTAAAGTTATTCATCACAGAAGCAAGCATTCATGACACTGTAGACAAGATATAGGAATGCTTCACTACAGGTTCAAATGTTATGTATTTCTCATTTCTTCATTATTACCATACAATTATTACTAACTTGAATATTTAATTTCTTATTTTAAATTTCTGGAGTATACCCTGTTTTTGTTCTTTTTCCAAAGTATACATTGTAATCACAAGGCAGCTACATATCCCTGCTGTGTTTTCAGGGGTGGAAATAACCCATTACCTGACGTCCGAGTCCAGTGTTTTTTTCTGTCGGGCAAGCAAATTTGTATATCACACTGTACCGGTGTCCAGTTGACTTTCCAGTGTTTATTATGTTGTTTATTTAAAAAATCAGCAAGAAAATGGTTGGTATAGTGGGAAAATAATCAGGGCAAGTGACTTTACATGTGCCACTCTACCGGAGTACACTAGCAATTTTAAACTTATTTCCACCCCTGGTTTTCAAAAACAATTACAGAAGATACAGACACTAACGGACACTCACACACCAAATGCTACAGGACAACATTCACAATATAGAATGCCATTCTGTTATGACCATATCAGACATGATAGACCATCAGCAGTCATTAGAGGGAGAACTATATGGTGAGGCAGCGACACAATATCCCAATAACATAGGGGTGATATGTTTCGTATCCCAATACAGCACTTTTAATTAATTTTATTAAGTTTATATTTGTTGTAGGGGAGTAACATATAAGCATGGGTGCATTCTGCTATTTATAGCCAACCAGGAAATACGACAGAATCGGTTCTTGACAAGTTCTCTTATAATTCACGTTTTAACATCAATATAAATTGTAATGTAATTAATCATATGAACTGAGGCACAGGAGCTGTAAATCATTATATTGTATAATGATACTTGTATCGTCATACATTATTGTATTGTCATACTGTCACACCACTACTAGTCATGTAATATACCTTGTCATTTATGGATATATCGATGCAAATTGTTCTGCCTGGTTAACCAATGAAATAGCATGGAATCACTTGAAATATATTTGCAAGCAGGCCACAGAAGTGTCAAGGAGATTTGAACTAGGGTCTCTAACAAGCCTGGGTAAATGTCTGTCTGTCTCACAGTCCCTGAACCACATTGCCTGGCCCTCCCTGCAATGCTTAAGCCCTCAAAGAGGCAAGTCTAGATTTCCCCAGGTTCTACCAACTCACTGGGGCTCCTTTTCTATTTAAATGGGTTTATTTGTTACCATCAAATTATATCGATTCAGGAGATTCAGGGACTAAGCATTAGTCTAGTCTGGTCAGTGATGACTTCAAAATCAGGATCAAAATTTCATCTTAATCATATTTTCTCAACATCATCTAGTTGCTTTGTAAACCAATCCTGTCCAACTGAAGAGTGAGTGAGTGAATAAGTTTAGTTTTATGTCACTTGTAGCAATATTCCAGCAATATCACGGCAGGGGACACCAGAAATGGGCCTCACCCATTATACCCATGTGGGGTACAACTGAAGAGAAGAAAGGGGCCTAATATAATGACCATATATCGGGTCTCAGTTTTGTCGCTCTAGTAATTTTGTAGTCTGTGACAAACCCTCTGAGGGTGCTTACTCATGTATTGTATTACACGTACTTGCTTCAAGGTCGTAGCTAGGGAGGTCGCGAAATCTTTTCCATGGTTATTGCCCCTCTAAAGCCATAAATATCCTTCAGAATGTAGGTCAAGGTTTGGGGGGAAAAGCCCAGTATAGATGCATCAATTGTTAGCATATTACTCTATAAGTATAACAGATCTGTCTGAAAGAATAACTTACACTGTTTCGGTTAATGTCTCAAATATAAGTGAGTGAGTGAGTGAGTTTTGTTTTACGCCGCTCTTAGCAATATTCCAGCAATATCACAGCGGGGAATACCAGAAATGGGCTTCACACATTGTACCCATGTGGGAAATGGAACCCGGTCTTCACGTGACGAGCGAACGCCTTAACCACTAGGCTACCCCACTGCCCCTCTCAAATATAATGTCATGAGCCTCAGGTCGAATCATTGCCTGATTCCTTGGACATGTACATTTGACTTTCCTTCCTACAACTATAAATACTCAGAAAAGTGTATATTTGGGTATCATGACACAACACTGTAATGTCCATGGTTATCAGGGGTGAAATGGCATACCGCGGTATTAGTAGAACCACAGTATTTTGTCTTCAGTTTGGTATACCGTAAGTGCAATCCAAAAATTTGGTATTTTCGGTTTTGTACCGTCATTTTATTAACCTTTTTAAACCTTTTCTAAAATGTCTAGAAATTGAATCATTTTGTCAAAATCTATCTAAGTTTGGCTCTTGTCAATTTTCTGCATTATGATCATATCTCATATACCGGTGAGGTGAGGTCCACACCTAGACGCCATTGTTGCCACACAATCCCCACTGAAGCAGGACAAGCATGAGGCCATGGGGATATTTTGTGCCCAAGACACATGTCAAGCCTTATAATAACCACCCATACTAAGGGTAATTGTTGTCTGTTACCCTGTACATTTCAGTACAATTATCAGATTCATATATATATGTCTGTTACCCTATAAGTTTCAGTACAATCATCAGATTCATATATAAAGCATTAACATGTGAACTGATTGCTCCTCTAACCTGAGATATGAAAACATACTGACCGTCTTGAACCTTGTGATGGACAACTTGTCAGGTGTCTCACACAGGTAGTCGAACAGGGAGTCTTCCATGTGAACATGGTCAATCTTGGCTTCACTGGAATAAACATGAAAACTGATACAGACCAATGCAGAAAAATAGTTATAATCAGAATCGTCACTCACTATAGATAAATAACAAACACACAGAAATTATACTTTTATTTTTTGGGGGGCACATATGACAGTTGATGTAATACAATGGCCCATTTTGCTCTTGGAATAACACAAGGCCATCACCAGTCATACCGAGGCATGTTGATAATAGTGGTTGCGATTCCAGGTGATAACAAATGTCTGTTTTCACCTGAAAATAAAAAGAAATATGTTCTCAATATCTGGAAGTCAAATACATTCACTGCACACAAAAGATTGAGTATATGTGAGATAGAATGTCCGCTGTTTGACAAGACTTCATTCAGCAGGCAATATTGTTAGCAAATACTGGCAAAACTCTTTAACTTGATTAACTCAATACACCTTTTTTCATACAAGACAAATGCTGCTTTTCTCTGTGGTGTATCATGTTTATTGATTCTGCAGCTCTTAAAATAACATAAAAAGGTGGCAAATATTCAAAGGAACAATTTTGTTTCCTTGCTCAAAATGCAAAATGACATATTTCCACAAAGATATGGGCAGACAACAGGTTCCACAGTGGGCCTATTGGAAAAGTATAATTATAGTCTGTTTGCAGTGAAAACGTACCGATGAATTTCACTTTAAACAAAAAAGTAAATGAAATAAAGTGAAATTAAGATTGCAAATCCTCATAATTTTACCTTACCAATTGAACATTAAAATCTCAGAATTTTATTCAACTTTGGATAAAAGTTGTTTAACAAACAATCATAGTTTCAAATCGCTATTATTGGTTCGTATTACAAGGGGGTATGCACATTAAATGAAACCCCGAGAACAAGAAGGGTTGGTTTCTACAGTAGTCTAAGTTAACGCTCATCACGCACTGCACGTACATATGTTTCACTGTTCCAATTACTGCGCGTACCCCCTTGTAATACCAACCAATAATAGCAATTTGAAACTATGATCGTTTGTTAAACAACTTTTATCCTACAAGATTTAAATGTTAAGTTGGCAAGGTAAAATTATGAGGATTCGCAATCTTAATTTTACTTTATTTGATTTACTTTTTTGTTTAAAGTGAAATTCATCGGTACGTTTTCACTGCAAACAGACTATAATACTGGTTAAGGGAAATCATTTTTACAAAATGTGAAATGTATATCTAATCTGCCTATCAGCATTTTAGACCAAATGAAATCATAAGCAAGAAATACAAAATAAGACTGGTCTTAATCATGTTAATATTAATGAATTTTAAACCCTTGGGAATTAGAGATATGACAATTTTGACTGGTTGGTTTCAAAGGAACAGACTGAAAAGGTGAAGTTAATGATTTCATAGAGAATGTTGGATAGAGGCATTATCGGTAACATTCTCAAATTGTGAAACATGTTGTTTAGGATACAACATAACCTGTGAACACCTTTACATACACAGATTAAATAAATTCAATTTAGCAAAATAATCACACACACAGCATGGTATATGTCAGAACTATAAATTTGAAATTCTAGATCATGACATAAAATTAAAAATCCAATATTTTGATATATTTAAACTAAACATTTAGAGAAAGGCATCAAACGTTAATTCAACTTACTTCTGGTTCTTTTCCAGGAAATATTTTCTTCAATCCTCAGATCACCTTGATGTCAAAGACTAAACCATCCACTGAAGAAAAGCAGGCTGGGTCCACTCTGGTGTGACCTAAAAACTATCCAGCAGTGCAAAACCTGATCTCCCCTTTACTTATATACCTGGGAAGAGGGGAGAAGGGGAGGGTACAGGTAGAAAGACAGACTGATGACGCAGGCTGGTCCTGGGTATCTGTAAGGCACTACTGGATGAGATAGGTCCACCCCCAAATAAATTATTTCTTCATGTTACAATGGAAAACAATTTGTATTTTAATGGCTACAAATTACTGCAGTGACATGTTATGACTGATCTTGAATTCAGCTCCTTGAATCAGGGATGAGACAATCCAGCAAACTGGCTGGTTGGTTGGTTGTTTAACGCCGCAGCTCAGCAATATTCCAGCTATATGGCAGCAGTCTGTAAATAACGGAGTCTGGACCAGACAATCAAGTGATCAACAGCATGAGCATCGTTCTAAGCAATTGGAATATGATGGCACGTGTCAACCAAGTCCAGCGAGCCTGACCATCCAATCCTGTCAATCACCTCTTATGACAAGCATGTGTTGCTGAAGATCAATTCTAACCCGGATCTTCCAGCAGACTAAGCACACTAGACATCAATGTTTGCCTTTTTGCTGTGTGATGGATGTAGATTGGGTAAGGTTATGCATTTTTTTAGACAGCTATTTTGTCTATAAATGATCACCTTTTAAACATATCTATTTGTTCTATCGGTGCATCTGCTTAATGCTCAACCCTCCCCTCCACTTTCTTGAAAGTCCATCCAAGTCCAATATTCCATATTGGCTGAATATTGCTAAAAGTAGCATAAAACCAAACACACCCACTCTTTTGCTAAAACACACCATTGATTGTCACATTACATTAGTGTGCATACAGAACTTTCAAAGCTTCAGACAGAAATATACTGTTCCAAGGGTGTTGAGAATCTGTTCATAGCAGATACCTAATTACGAAAACTCCTTTCTCAACTAACTTTTTCAGAATGACAACAATAAGTGCCCAGGGCCCCGTTCCTCAAAGCGATCGTAGCTACAATCAGTTGTAAGCCCTACGATCAAATTTACCAGTATCGTAAATAACAATTTATTGTCGTTCCTCAAAGCTATTGTAAGGGTATTGTAAGTATCGCGATTGTAATTCTTTCGATCGTAAATTACAATTTTCAAGGATAGTGCATGTACACACTGGGTGTCCGAGGATAACTCAGGTTCTAGCATGCATACCAGTTTCAGAATGGAAGCCCTTGTTATTCTGTACCTTGAAAATATTTCAGCGTCATTGTAAACATCAAGAATACGACTACGGTCTCGAAATATCTTCTCAGGGCAAAATTTCTGTCACCTCTGTTTATGAATTACAACAAACGCCGCCATCTTGTTCATTCACAACAGTCAATCAAAAGGAAGTTAGAGACGGTCATAAGCAACTCACGGAAGTGATTGTAACTTACAATTATTAATGTAACTTACAATTGCTTTGTGGAACGGTGGAGTGATTGTAAGTTAAAGTTACAATTGGATTGTAATGATTTACAACTATTGTAGTGTTACAATCGCTTTGAGGAACGGGACCCTGGGTAGTAAATATACATAGATACAACCCATGGATGCATGTAATATGAACTGTAAGTACCATTGGATAAAAGAAAGTTTGTCTGTTTGAATATTTTGAGTGAGTGAATGAGTTTAATTTTACGCTGCTTTTAGTAATATTCCAGAAATATCATGGCTGGGGACACCAGAAATGGGCTTCACACATTGTACCCATGTGGGGAATCGAACCCAGGTCTTCGAGCACACGCTTTAACCACTTGGCTACCCCACCCCCACTTGTATATTTTGGACTAATTAAAGTTTAGACCATGAAGTGTGGACATAAAGTTCACTATGCATGGACTGATGATCATCATTTAATCACTCATTGTTGTCTGTCAGAATACCTGTGTCCTGCAGAATCACAAATACAGAGGCCTGGATTAATATGTTCTAACAACATACAACCAAAACACATTTTCAACTTTAATATACAAAAGTTACTTGATTTACATTAACAAAAACATCTAAAAATTTTATGACATTTATTGAGAACATTGCTTGATTTATTTGTCTGATGTCCGAGTCTTGACCCAACTAATTCACACAACATGATCAGTTATAGAGGGAAATATGTCAACTTTAATGGCAACCCCTCAGATAACGCAGTTGCACATGAATTAGCAAAATGCTTCCTGTTTTCACTTTGATAGGAGGTGGTGGTGGTGGAATTGGGTTTAACGTCGTGCTTGAGAATATTTCGCTCATATGACGACGTGCATGCGTGTGTATGTGTATGTGCGGCTGCTTGTACTAGCCCAGACTGAAGCTGGTTTTATAGTGCTAGCCCACTGAGATACCATGCCGCAGTGAAGCATGAATACCCCACTCACACACATTATACTGACTCTGAGCCGACCAGTCCTTGCTGTACCCTTTAATGCCGAGCGCCAGGCAGGGACCAACAAGTACCATATTTTAACGTCTTTTGGTATGACGCGGTCGGGGATCGAACCCGCGACCTTCCTCACTCCGGGCGGAAGCTCTAACCACTACACCACGGAGGCGGTCCTTCAATAGGTGTGTGAGATTGTGTTTGTTTGCTGTGCCGCCAACCCTTCAGATCATGTTTTCACTTTGTGTGTGTGTGTGCGTGCGTACGTGCGTGTTGCACAAACATTCAGCTATATCCCAGCTATATGACAACCGTCTGTCAACAGATATATAGCCAAGCTTTCCTCTGACTGGTCTATGTATGCATATAAAGATACACATCAAACATCATGACGCTTGAGTAATGCATTTAAACATATGGCTCAACTAATGGATAACGAGGTTCAAGACTGTTTAAAATGAGGGAGTTGGGTGGAATATTTTGTATATACTAGTTAATTTGTCTTGACATTAAACATGTGTGACATCCTAATGAATCCAAGATAAATCTGTAGTTCCAGGTTACCTTTAGAACTTTACGAAGAAAACAACACAGAACACAAATATACCCTTAATATTCCAGCCATGTATGCATAAAATCATCCATGTCAAGATATTAGCATGGTCTTAATTAAATGTGGATGTGTTTCTTTCTAGATACAGAAATCAGATTGATGTGTTCTGTGTGTGGTGGCTCTAACCTGAATTCGTCACATGGAAAACCATGTTGGAATCAATACAGATAAACACATGTAAGAAACATTGTTTGCATGTTGCAGATATTCTTCAGAATGGAGTGCCTCACAAACGCCTGTACATGATGACTCAGCTATATTTACTCAATATATGGGGTCTCAAATGTTTATCATCATTTATATATACTTACTGGTCAAGAAAGCCACGATTCTGTCTGTCTTTGATCTGTAACTGTACACGTGTTGTCTGCCATTCTTTCTTACTTTCACTTAAAGCTCCCACACTCAATCCATACTGACCATAGCACTTTGAGTTTACACAGGAAGTCACAATATTCCTTCGTAATTCTACACCAACTTTTGCAATACTGCTAATGGTACTAACTGGTTTTACACACAATATATAACCAAAAAGGTTCATAACTCAAAATATAATGTTATTATATATACATAACCTAACAGTGGAAATATTCATATAGTCATATTAATGATATGAAACTCGATCTACTGTGAAATATGAAATACGATCATACGGACATTTATACTACCCAGGTGCGCGCCTTTGTGAATATATTCACGCGGATGTGACGAAATAGAGGTATCCTCGTGTGCACTCTCTAACCCCGTCAACGAATGGTGTTCCGATGTTCGCTGTTAAAAATAAGTGCCAAGTGATGTACCAGAGCACAGAAATTGTAACATGGTAAAAATTGTGGGGTTTGCATAATAACGGGGCGGACGGTCACTCGTAATAAAGAGGGGGACTTAACCGATTAATGTAAGCTCATAATATTTACATCCTTTTACATCATAAACATGATCGTAATCGAAAGGGCATATATGAGAGGTGAACTGGAAAGACTGCTAACGAAGGTTTGACATTAGAGAGGTCAAATTCATTATCCACGTGTGAATGGGCGATTTTGTACACGTAGCATTAGGGCCCTAGCATTATGCTGTGGAATGGCTCTTCGGAAACTGTGTTTGTTTTCATAACTTGGTATATGGTGTCTGGTATTGTTTGGCCAAATTCAACTTGCCCACTACATGCGTACTTGTGGCTATTTTGACCAACACCATGCACATGTCCGTTACTATCGGATTGTTGATGTTCCGGTTCTCTACGTCACCAATCACGTGATCTTTCTCAACTATGATTGGTCGCACGACTACGCGGTAGTACGCGATCTTCTCAGATTCGGCGAAAAGATAGCAGCGCGTGGAGAAGTCCTCGTATTGCATCAGAGGCCATGTGGAAAATTTAGGGGGGGACCACTTGTTGGTAGAACAGCCAGGTAATCAACACGCGTGTGTATTTCAATTTCACACCTGCAACTCGCACACCTTGCTGTTCTACTAAGCTAGTTCAGTCAGCTAAACGTACTTTAGCTGGCTGAACTATACTAAGCAAGTGGTCCCCCCTCGTAAAAAAGCAAATAGTGACATCATATTAATGATCGTTTGTTAAACAACTTTTTTATTCGGGTGTCCAAAATTATGAGACAATCATCAGAGTTGGACTGTCGATATCACGTGACTGTGCAAAAATTGGTTTTGTTGCAATTATTAGATTTTGTGTTAGCAAGCAATTAATATTCATCGACCTCAAATGAGTAAGTGAGTGAGTGAATGTGGTTTTACGCCGCTTTTAGCAATATTTCAGCAACATCAGGGCGGGGGACACCAGAAATGAGCTTCACACATTGTACCCATGTGAGGAATCGAACCAGGGCCTTCGGCGTGACGAGCGAACGCTTTAACCACTAGGCTACCCCACCGGCCTCAAATGAAATCAAACGGACTGTAAAATTTTTATTATGCAATAACTTTTTAATGAATATAACATATTTCCACACGTATGCATGTTGTGTATGGTTTGCATATGTTTTGAATGTAAGTTGCGTGTACTGCGTATGCTCTATGTGGTGTGCATGTATGTACTCTGTACTGAGTTTATGATGCAGTATTTTATGAATGTCTGTTTGCTTTTTTGTCATCTCTGCAACATTCATCACATTCTAAACAAAGAAATATATGGCATCCAACAGTGTTCTGGTTAATGTTTGATATAGATAGAGATTTCAAAACCTGTCAATTAAAACTTCACCAGATACCTTAGCAAATAAAGTTATGAAGTATGGGTGTAAATGTGTTTTTCTTAATGAACTCTAGAACATTTAGTAAATTTCCAATTGTCACTGGGAATATCCTTTTGACCTCTGGCGTCAAACGACTTTTGTTAGCGTTGGGGAAGAAACAACTGCGCATGCTTATCATGACATCACATTGTTAGATCATCAGCTGTTCTAATCAGAACACACGCCGTCCGAATAGATATCAAATGAAACCGTATAGAACAGAATATCGTCCTATTGTGTTCATTTTATCAAATGTAAGGGAATACTATGCGTTCTGATAGTCTATTTTAGAGAATGCGTATTCAGTTATTTATCAATTGTAAAACACATATAACCAGATCTTACCTAGTTATATAGAACATTTTGAGGAATCAATTTCCTCTTGCAAAATACGGAGAGAGAAGTACCGATTACTCTATGCTAACACGCCCTCAGAGAAATCTGTTAGATAATGTTAGTCATTTCTGCATTCTCTTATACAACTGCAAGGTAATCGCATGGTTCAGATACACAACACTGAAGACTAGCGGCCATGTAAATATTGTATAAAGAAGTAGCCATATCACGACCTCTGAGAGCATCGGTGATATAAATAATGGCCTTTATTCGGAGTATTTCACTGATGTGATACAACGAATATAGACTTGCCCCGAGTAGATGCTTCTCTTGGGCTTTTGTAAGGTAAGTCAGGTATGCTTCACTTTCATTGCATGATCTAAGCTTTGTTCCCAGTTTCCTGTCATGTCGGTGTGTTTGCCGACCAAGCAGTTAAAGAGGCACTTAAACTCCCAAAAGTGGCAAGGTAAACACCAAAATACAAATTCTAAACTGAACAATCTACCCCTAAAAATACTGAAAATCTACAAATGCAAAATCACAAGCAGGGTGGATCTGTAATTCGAACCCGCGTTCAAAGGATATTGACACATCGAAGGGACGTAACTCTGTATAGCGAATTGCAGCGCATTATGCGGTTGGGCCACCCGTGCACCAATGATAAATTAGGTCATACATATAAGTGTTCATTTCCCCATTGTAGTATACGGGTACCGTCATAAGGGCAATCGCTCGTGTAAACACCTTTAGAGAAGTAACGAAACGTAATAATGCAACTGTAACCTTTTTAAGTATATATGTTGTGAAATGATAAAGTAAGGGACCGTTCATAATTTATGGCTAGGGGTTGTGATGATGATTTTAAGGGGGTCACCCATTTTGTTCTGGGGACGTAAGGGGTCATCAATCTTGTACACATGAACTAGGGGGAGGGGGACAGCAAATGTATGCATAAAAATACGCTTAGATATTATGGGAGGGTCGTTGATTTTGTACATGACATGCAGGGGTTCACTTACTTTGTACTGCGTACATAATTTGTATTTTATTTTATTTTATTTTATTTTTTGGGGGGTGGGTGGGTCATAGTACATGCTTCTCCATAAAAGCCAGACTGGGTAACTCGTTTTCTCTGTATGTAGCGGAATAAGTCCGACTTCCGCTACAATTCTTCACGTTAACTTGCTTGAACCGTGCTGTAACTAAACAGGGGTGTATTGTTTCGACGGGTAGAACTGTAATTTCTGTGAAAATTGTAATTGTTTCTTGTGACACGATCCCTGGCCGTTATCTGATAGTAAGTGTTTAGTGTTTTGTTTGTCCATCTTTCTGCTCCGATAATCAGGATGCGCGATGAATGTAGGATCTTAATGTCAGATGTGTTATATATGACCGACAACCGCCATCAGTGATCCGGTCATAGTTCGGGACGCAGTGCATTGTGGTAAAAAGGTGGCGTGATTCACCGGCACTTCATGTGTGGGAAGATACTTGTACACAAAGCAAACATGGTCATATTCAAGAACTGTGTAAATATTAAACAATGCTTTTTGTAGACTGGCGTGTTTATATAAGCATATAGTTGTGAATTTCATATCGCAATTTAAGAAATAGAGAGGGGAGATACAGTGATACAGAGACCATAAAATAGACCCTCTATTACATGGCCTCTGGTGATAGAGATTACTTTGTTAGCGGGGCCCCATTGTGTTGTAGTTGGGACTGGGTTGGTTCGGGGTTGGTGGGATGGGTTGATGTTTCAGACTTACAAGCTACCTCAGTATCTGTTGCCCAGTATTACAATCTGAAAATTACATATCTTTAAACATTCATGTGCATCAGACATTTGCTTGCATAACTAATAACTTAAATGTGTGTTGGTGGCCGTTCATAATTTATGGCTGGTGTGTGTGTGTGTGCGCGTGCGTGTGTGCGTGTGTGTGATATGATGATTTTAAAGAGTGCTCATCGGATGAGCACTCTTTATGGATGAGTCATCCATTTTGTTGGGGGTAGGGGTCATCAGTTTTGTACACATGTACTAGGGGTGGATCATCAATTTCGCAGGGGTGGGGTCACTTACTTTGTACAAAAAAATTCGGGGTTTGGGGTGGGGGGGCGGTTGTTGTCATTCACATTGTACATGCTTCCCCATAAAAATCATCATCACCCCCCTCACCATTCATTGATCTGAAGAGAATTCTTTCGTGTTGTATTAATGTAACTGAATGTATCTATTTATCAACACCAACGGGTAGAAACTGTTTCCATGGTTCTTTATTTCGTTTTTATGAGATTTTGATGGTTAAACTGACAGCGTGAGTGATCGTAACCGGACATCTTGGATTGTTGTTCGTGCTATTAACGTCTAATTTCAAAAATCTTTTTTAGGAATATTGAAACATAATATTATATTGATATTTCTCAAGTTTAACAAGTTTTTCATCACTTGTTCATCTTTGTACACAGTTGAGAGGGAGGTATCTGTTTCTAAGAAATTTGTAATGTATACAAATGACAAGTACATGACACTCATCCTCGACATAACCTCCATTGCAACAATCACAAAAACTGTTATTTTTTTAATAAGAACCTACCGGAGTCAGGTTTGAGATTGCACCTGGACATATGAAGTAAAATATACATTCTGAAAGGCACAACGGCTATACCATAGTATATAGTGAGTAAATTGCAGGCAACAATATATCTTCTTACGATAAGTTACTGTTATAACACGCGGTATGTGCAGTTACGGCAGTAAACACTGTTTACGTTTACCGTTTTTCAGGTGAAATGATGTCATCACAGCTGCTGGTGGCTTGACGTGACGTAACAAAATCAAAGTGTTGAGTCCGTTGGCACACCCTATAAAGATGTACCCGGTGTTGTGATTCAATCCTCGACGTGGTAATGGCTTTTACAAGCGTGGCCTATCATCAAACAATAACACCTCCACTTTGACACCTTTCAGGTGCATGCTGACACAAGAGAAGTTTCTTGACGCTCCTATAGACTTATCGCTTGATGCTGATTTTACAGGGTGTAAACATCAAATAAACCTTTTATGCCTTGCAGTTGCAAACTGTGTAATGTGATAGAGAACATTAAATAGACATCCTTCTATGACCAAGTGAATGAATCTTGTTTCAACCCCTGGTCAGGAAGCATCCATTATATTAATGTACGTACATAGTCGAGTCAGGACCAAAGAGGTGAGGTGAAATTGGGTTTAACGTCGTGCTTGAGAATATTTCGCTCATATGATGACGTGCATGCGTGTGTATGTGTATGTGCGGCTGCTTGTACTAGCCCAGACTGAAGCTGGTTTTACAGTGCTAGCCCACTGAGATACCACGCCGCAGTGAAGCATGAATACCCCACTCAGACACATTATACTGACTCCGAGGCGACCAGCCCTTGTTGTACCCATTTATACCGAGCGCTAGGCAGGGACCAACAAGTACCATATTTTAACGTCTTTTGGTATGACGCGGTCGGGGATCGAAACCGCGACCTTCCGCTCTCCGGGCGGACGCTCTAACCACTACACCACGGGGGCGGTCCAGGACCAAGGACAGAGAGCATGGTCAGTTATCAATGCCACCGGACACGATGACACGTTTTCGACCATTTGAT